CACGCTGCCCTTCTCCGTGCGAGAGGGCATCAACATCTTCCTGGCTGGCTTCGTGCCAACCGAGAACCTGCGCTTCCGAGACGAGTCGCTCACATTCAGGGTGAGTCTGCCGTGAGGGTGTCACCGTGTCCGTCGGGACATCAAAATTTTCATATTGCAGGCACACCTTTAGAATTCAATCAGCAGTGCGAGGGGGCATCAACATCTTCCTTGCCGGCTTTGTTCTGACCGAGAACCTGCGCTTCCGAGACGAGCCGCTCACCTTCAGGGTGAGTCTGCTTTAGGTGTTGACTTGAAAGAGGGGAATTTTGTGTTTCTCTGTGCTCGAGGGAATGAACATCTTTCTTGCCGGCTTCATACCAGCTGGAAACCTGCGTTTTCAAGACGAGTCGCTCACCTTCCGTGTGGGTCTGCTTGTCTGTCGCTCCTCTTTGTGAATGGATGTTTCTTCCTTGCCTCAGTTTCCAACTTCGTTAGATAGGGCATGAGCATCTTTTTTTTTCATCTTTTGAGCCGACTTAAGACACAAAAGTCGACTCAGAAGTCAGACCCACATTTTTGAGACGAAAAGCTCATTCATTTTCAAAGTTGGAAGAAACGGACGAGGCCAAGACATATACTTGGTACAAGTACCCACGCATGATCAAGAAGCAGGGCGTGTTGAAGCTCTCTGTGTGCTGTCTCAGGTTCCTCAAAGCACTCCTTTCCTCCCCTCCACTCCCTCTCCTCCGCCCGTGCCTCTTCTCCTTTCCCCCTCCCATCAGGGGACGAAAACCCCGGTGGATAATCCTGAGGAGGGAGGCCAAGACGTACAGTCGGTTCGGTACAGGTATTTGGGCATGATCAAGAAGCACGGCGGGTTCAACCTCCTCCTTCCCCTCCCTCACTCCATTCTTTCACCCCCCTTCATTCCATCTCAGGTGGCTGAAACCCCGGTGGATAATCCTGAAGAGGCCAAGACGTACACGCGGTACAAGTACCCGCGCATGATCAAGAAGCAGGGCGGGTTCAAGCTTTGCAGCTAAATTACCCTTATTTCTGACCCATCTCAACCCATCATTGCTCCCATCAGGTGGCTGAAACCCCGGTGGATAATCCTGAAGAAGCCAAGACGTACACGCGCTACAAGTACCCGCGCATGGTCAAGAAGCAGGGCGGGTTCAAGCCCCTCCTTCCCCTCCCCCCCTCTCCATTCCATCTCAGGTTGCTGAAACCCCAGTCGATAACCCTGAAGAGGCCAAGACGTACACGCGCTACAAGTACCCGCGCATGGTCAAGAAGCAGGGCGGATTCAAGCTGACGGTGGAACCTGGTGACTTCACGGACTCACAGATCGTGGTGATGCTGGGGGAGAACGGCACCGGCAAGACCACCTTTATCCGCATGCTGGTAGGGAAGCTGTCTCTCATGGGTGCGCATGCTGGTAGGCACATGTGTGCACCATAGGTAGGGATGGCAGTGGACGCAAGGCACAGACTCGCAGATCGTGGTGATGCTGGGGGAGAATGGCACCGGCGAAACCACCTTTATCCGCATGCTGGTAGGCCAACTCTCTCACCTGTGCATGGCTGGTGGTAGGCCGGTAGCCCAACTTGCATGTGCCCGCACCATGCCACATACTTCCGCAGAGCTAATAGGCCGACTCTTGTGTCATATGCATACCGGTTGGGCTAGTCGTTGGCTCCTAAATTCCCGTTTCCTTCCCGTTTCCGCGTCTCCCAATATCGCCAGCTTGCACGTCTCTTTGGCTCTCTCTCCTCCCTGTCCCTTCCATGATCCATCTTCCATCCCTCCTCTCTCCCTTCCAGGCGGCTCTCTCAAGGCCGGACCCAGATGAGGAAACCGGCAAGGAGGCCCAAGGTTTTCCCGAGTTCAACGCGTCGTACAGGCCGCAGAAGACCAGCCCAGCCCCAAGTTTCCCTTCCCATTCTCATTCTCCGTCCCTTTTTCTTCCCTTTCCACTTCGATCCCCCGTGCCTTGTCTCCCTTCTCCCTTGTATCACGCAGGCTGGTCTGTTAAAGGCCGACCCGGACGAATCAACTGGCAAGGAAGCCGAAGATCTCCCGGATTTCAGTGTGTTGTACAGGCCGCAGAAGACCAGCCCAGCCCCAAGTTTTCTGCGTTACTCTCCTCCCTCCTCCCCTCTCCTCTCCTGTCTCGTTCTGAACCCCTCCAGGCCGGCCTCTTGAAGGCAGATCCAGACGAGGAGACCGGGAAAGAAGCTGAGGACCTCCCGGAGTTCAACGTGTCGTTCAAGCCGCAGAAGATCAGCCGCAAGTTCCCCCTCTCATACCCTCTCGTTCCTCTCCTTTCCGCTCTCCTGTGTCCTTCTCAACCCCTTACAGGCTGGTCTCTTAAAGGCTGACCCGGACGAGGAGACCGGCAAGGAGGCCGAGGACCTCCCGGAGTTCAACGTGTCGTACAAGCCGCAGAAGATCTCCCCCAAGTTCCCCCACAGCGTGCGCGCGCTGCTGCACTCCAAGATCCGAGACTCGTTCCACCACCCGCAGTTCAACACCGACGTGCTGCGCCCCATGCAGATCGACCCGCTCCTGGACCAGGAGGTGGTGAATTTGTCGGGTGGGGAGCTGCAGCGCGTGGCTATTACCCTTTGTCTGGGAAAGGTAAGGAAGGAGTGGGTGGGTTGGTCAACTCTCTCTTGGAGACTGCGGCGGTTCAAGGTGGTTTTGGGCGGTTCTGGGGCGGCTCAGAAGTTGCCCCATGCAGATCGACCCCCTGCTCGACCAGGAGGTGGTGAAAATCTCAGGAGGGGAGCTGCAGCGCGTGGCCATCACGCTGTGCCTTGGCAAGGTAAGGAAGGGGTGCATCAAGTCCCTCTTGGGATTTTAAGGTGGTCTGAGGCGGTTTTGGGGTGGTTTTGGGGCGGTTTTGGGATGGTTTTGGGGCGGCTCAAAAGTTGTCTCATGCAGATCGACCCCCTGCTCGACCAGGAGGTGGTGAATTTGTCAGGAGGAGAGCTGCAGCGCGTGGCTATTTCCCTCTGCCTTGGGAAGGTGCGTCGCTATTTCCCTCTGTTTTGGGAAGGTGCGTGGCTATTTCGCTCTGCCTTGGGAAGGTGCGTGGCTATTTCCCTCTGCCTTGGGAAGGTGCGTGGCTATTTCCCTCTGCCTTGGGAAGGTGCGTGGCTATTTCCCTCCGCTTTGGGAAGGTGCGTGGCTATTTCCCTCTGCCTTGGAAGGTGCGTGGCTTTTTCCCTCTGCCTTGGAAGGTGCGTGGCTATTCCCCTCTGCCTTGGGAAGGTGCGTGGCTATATTACTCTGTTTTGGGAAAGTGCGTGGCTATTTCCCTCTGCCTTGGGAAGGTGCGTGGCTATTTCCCTCTGCCTTGGAAGGTGCGTGGCTATTTCCCTCTGCCTTGGGAAGGTGCGTGGCTATTTCCCTCTGCCTTGGGAAGGTGCGTGGCTATTTCCCTCTGTCTTGGGAAGGTGTGTTGCTATTTCCCTCTGCCTTGGGAAGGTGCGTGGCTATTCCCCTCTGCCTTGGGAAGATGCGTGGCTATTTCCCTCTGTTCTGGGAAGGTGCGTGGCTATTTCCCTCTGCCTTGGGAAGGTGCGTGGCTATTTCCCTCTGCCTTGAGAAGGTGCGTGGCTATTTCCCTCTGCATTGGAAAGGTGCGTGGCTATTTCCCTCTGCTTTGGAAAGGGGCGTGGCTATTTCCCTCTGCCTTGGAAAGGTGCGTGGCTATTTCCCTCTGCCTTGGGAAGGTGCGTGGCTATTTCCCTCTGCCTTGGGAAGGTGCGTGGCTATTTCCCTCTGCCTTGGGAAGGTGCGTGGCTATTTCCCTCTGCCTTCAGAAGGTGCGTGGCTATTTCCCTCTGCCTTGAGAAGGTGCGTGGCTATTTCCCTCTGCCTTGGGAAGGTGCGTGGCTATTTCCCTCTGCTTTGGGAAGGTGCGTGGCTATTTCCCTCTGCCTTGGGAAGGTGCTTGGCTATTTCCCTCTGCCTTGGGAAGGTGCGTGGTTATTTCCCTCTGCCTTGGAAAGGTGCGTTGCTATTTCCCTCTGCCTTGGGAAGGTGCGTGCCTATTTCCCTCTGCCTTGGGAAGGTGCGTGGCTATTTCCCTCTGCCTTGGGAAGGTGCTTGGCTATTTCCCTCTGCCTTGGGAAGGTGTGTGGCTATTCCCCTCTGCCTTGGGAAGGTGCGTGGCTATTTCCCTCTGCCTTGGGAAGGTGCGTGGCTATTTCCCTCTGCCTTGGGAAGGTGCGTGGCTATTTCCCTCTGCCTTGGGTAGGTGCGTGGCTATTTCCCTCTGCCTTGGGAAGGTGCATGGCTATTTCCCTCTGCTTTGGGAAGGTGCGTGGCTATTTCCCTCTGTCTTGGGAAGGTGCGTGGCTATTTCCCACTGCCTTGGGAAGGTGCGTGGCTATTTCCCTCTGCCTTGGGAAGGTGCGTGGCTATTTCCCTCTGGTTTGGTAAGGTGCGTCGCTATTTCCCTCTGCCTTGGGAAGGTGTGTGGCTATTTCCCTCTGCCTTGGGAAGGTGCGTGGCTATTTCCCTCTGCCTTGGGAAGGTGCGTGGCTATTTCCCTCTGCTTTGGGAAGGTGCGTCGCTATTTCCCTCTGCCTTGGTGGCATCTACCTCATTGACGATCCATCGGCCTATCTCGACTCAAGAGCAGTGCATTGTGGCAGCCACGGTCATCAAGCGGTTCATCCTTCCCTTTTTTCCCTTTCTCCCCCTCTTCCACTTTCTCCTTTCTCCAGCCTGCCGACATCTATCTGATCGATGAACCCTCGGCCTATCTCGACTCAAGAGCAGCGCATCGTGACGGTCAAGGTCATCAAGCCGTTCATCCTGCACATGCGTTCCTTCTTCTCTCTCCTCCCAGCCTGCCGACATCTACCTCATAGACGAGCCCTCGGCCTATCTGGATTCGGAGCAGCGCATCGTGGCAGCCAAGGTGATCAAGCCGTTCATCCCTCCCCTCCCTTTAACATTCCACTTCCACTTCCAACCCCCCACACCCCCTTTCCTCCCAGCCTGCCGACATCTACCTGATTGATGAACCCTCAGCCTACTTGGATTCAGAGCAGCGCATTGTGGCGGCCAAGGTGATCAAGCGCTTCATCCTGCACGCCAAGAAGACGGCGTTTGTGGTGGAGCACGACTTCATCATGGCCACGTACCTGGCGGACCGCGTCATCGTGTACGAGGGGCAGCCGTCGGTGGACTGCACGGCGCGCACGCCCCAGTCGCTCAACAGCGGCATGAACCTCTTCCTCTCGGTGAGAGACCCCTTGTTGCTTGCTGTGTGAGTGAGAACCCCCCTTTGTGGTGGATCACGACTTCATCATGGCCACGTACCTGGCGGACCGCGTGATTGTCTACGAGGGGCAGCCGTCCGTGGATTGCACGGCTTGCACTCCTCAAGTCGCTCAACAGCGGCATGAACCTCTTCCGGCATGCCCAAGGGAGCTGTGCGCTTGTAGGGTGCACTCATGGAACCCCTTTCTCCCTCCCGTTTTCACCTCTTCTCGCTACCGTGCCCCTCACAACCATCGTTTCCTCCCACCCCCAACCACCACCACCCTCCCCCCCCCAGCAACTGGACATCACGTTCCGGCGCGACCCCACCAACTTTCGGCCGCGCATCAACAAGATGGATTCTGTCAAGGACCGCGAGCAGAAGAATGCCGGCACCTACTACTACCTGGACGACTGAGTGCGGGCATGGCATTGGCCGTTTTGGCATGCCCATGAAAGGGTGCACTCATGGGATGGGAGCACAAGTCTGCTAGCAGTGGCACCTACACAACCGTACCTCGATGAGTGATCGGCATTGGCCATTGCCAACTTGCCATCCATCCCTAGACCCTACCCCACCCATGGCATCCGTATGCGATCGACAACTGTGCTGGAGGGTACAGTCATGGGAGTTAACTTTTTGAAAGCAACGCTCACATGCTAAGCGTATTTAGGACGATTGTGTTAGGCATTGTGCTTTACGTGAGCGTTGGTTCGCAGGACTCTAGCTGTCGTGTCTCTGACAAGTGTTTGCATAATGGTAGGACTGGCCGTACCAGCTGACTTTTGACCTGACCTTGAGAGTCGTCTGCGCCAATTCATTGCTGCAGGATAACAAATGAAGTTGTTGGAGCATGATTTTCAGGCTGTAGTAGCATCTGTTGCTGTTGGAGCTTGGAGGAAAAAGTGGCATATCGGACTGCGAGTGACACAAAAGATGGGCACATTGTTTTTACTGTGGTTAAAAAACAGATGCCAATCAGCTCTACCTTGGTGCTACCGGGTATATGAAAATGATTTAGCTACACAGTACAGTGAACTTCACCCTCCAAGCTCGGCTTTAAGCTCCCCATTAGCCTTCATTTCAAGCACAATATCGCATCCACCAATCAGCTCGCCCTTGTGGTACACCTGGGGGTACGTGGGCCAATTGGAGAGCTCCTTCAGCCCCTGCCTCACTGCTTCATCCGTGAGAATGTCAAAACTGCCAAAGGAAATACCTTCTGACGTGAGTGCATCCACCACCTTGCGGCTGAACCCACACCGCGGCTCCTCAGGTGTGCCCTGGGAAAGCAAGGCAAGGCCGTGAGGACAAGCCATGGGGAAGAGGGGGGGAAGAGGGGGGGAAGAAGGGGGGAAGAGGGGGGGAAGAAGGGGGGAAGAGGGGGGGAAACATGCGATGAGTCCATGTCTGACTTGACTGCATCCACCACCTTGCGGCTGAACCCACACCGCGGCTCCTGCGGTGTTCCCTGAATAACAAGGGATGGGGATGGTCATGGGTACATAGCACAGGAAGGCAGGGGAAGGGGGGTTGGGGGGGTGTAAAGGCATGTGTTCAGCCCCTGCCGCACTGCCTCGTCCGTGAGAATGTCAAACTGCCAAAGGAAATACCTTCTGACGTGAGTGCATCCACCACCTTGCGGCTGAACCCACACTGCGGCTACTCCGGTGTGCCCTGGGAAAGCAAGGCAAGGCCGTGAGGACAAGCCATGGGGAAGAAGGAAGGAAACATGCGATGAGTCCATGTCTGACTGGAGTGCATCAACCACCTTGCGGCTGAACCCACACCGCGGCTCCTCCGGTGTTCCCTGAGAGGTAACGCAGCAGAGAGGACGGGATGAGAGGAAGGGATGAGAGGAAGGGATGAGAGGAAGGCGAAGACGAGACGAGTGCCTTCAATCATCTTTATTAGCTAAGGCAGGACGATACAGATTATCACATACGCCCCAACCCACTCTACTCCAACATACCTTCATGAACAGCATGGTAGGCGAAGACGAGAGGAGTGCCTTCAGCCGCTCTTGCAACCCCTTCGCCCCATCAACCTGCCCATCCGCCGCTGCTGCTGCTGCCGTCACTGCTCCTGGTGCATCTCCCTTCCCCGCCCCTCCCAGCACCCCTTTCTCTGCAAACACCTCTTTCAACTCCCCACTCTCGTGCATCTGCAGCACAATATCACACCCCCCAACCAGCTCCCCCTTGCAATACAACTGCGGGAAAGTCGGCCAGTCGCTATACACCTTCAAACCCTGCCGAACCTCCTCATCTTGCAGAATATCAAACGACCCATACGCACCGGCCGCCGCAGAGCCTAAGTCCTTTTCCAGCACAGATACAACCTTAGAGGAGAATCCGCATCTGGGGGCGCTGGGGGTGCCTTTCATGAACAGTAGCACTGGGTGGGAGGCCAGGAGAGCCTCGATCCGAGCCTTCAGGTCCGGGGACAGCTTCGGCTTGTCCGAACCTGCGGGCGGGGCGATCATTCGGGAGGGTTGCTCCGGCTGAGCAACCGCAGCAGCAGGAGAGGCAGCAGGAGGAGCAGCAGCAGGGTAGGCGGCGGTGCGAGCGGAGTGGAGAACGGATTCGATGACTTCAGCAGCAGCAGAGCCGCCCGCACTGAAGTTGGTGGCAGAGGAGGGTGCAGCGATGTGCAGTGCGACCTTGTGTGCTAGCTCGGGGGGGTTGGCTCCCTCTAGCCTGTCCACCACCTTGCCATCCTGTCAAGACGAGAGAGAGAGAAGAACAGGAGGACACAGAAAAACACATTTTGATGACTTCAGCAGCAGCAGAGCCGCCCGCACTGAAGTTGGTGGCAGAGGAGGGTGCAGCGACGTGCAGCGCCACCTTGTGTGCTAGCTCGGGGGGGTTGGCGCCTTCAAGCCTGTCCACCACCTTGCCATCCTGTCAAGACAAGAGAGAGAGAGAGAGGGAAATGGAGGGGAGATGCGAATGGAAGTTGGTGGCAGAGGAGGGTGCAGTGATGTGCAGCGCCACCTTGTGTGCTAGCTTGGGGGGGTTGGCGCCTTCGAGTTTATCCACCACCTTGCCATCCTGCAGGGAGAGGGGAAGAAGGGGGGAAGAAGGGGGGAAGAAGGGGGGAAGAAGGGGGGAAGAAGGGGGGAAGGAACGTCAAGGAAAGTTGGTGGAGGGGGCGGGTGCAGCGACGTGCAGCGCCACCTTGTGTGCTGGCTCGGGGGGGCTTGCTCGCTCCTTACAAGCCTGTCCACCACCTTGCCATCCTGCCGGAAACGCAAGGGAAGTGGGTGGAGGGGGAGAGTGAGCCATGTGCAATGCTACCCTGTGGCTGTGGGAGAGTGAGCCATGTGCAATGCTACCCTGTGGCTGTGGGAGAGTGAGCCATGTGCTATGCTACCCTGTGGCTGTGGGAGAGTGAGCCATGTGCTATGCTACCCTGTGGCTGTGGGCTAGCTCGGGGGGGTTGGCGCCCTCCAGTGTGTCCACCGCCTTGCCATCCTGCCGGAAGAGGGGGGGAGGAGAGAAGGGGAAGGAAAAGGAAAGTTAGTGGAGAACGAGGGTGCACCGACGTGTAGGGCAGGGCAACCTTGTGGGCTAGCTCTGTGAAGGTTGGCGCCTTTGAGTCTGGACTGCAAGAAAGGTTGAAAAGTCGTCGCACCTCCACTCATAATAATACCAATTGCGTGTGAAAATACAATCTCCGAGTGGCGAGCACGCAGGTAAGTGGAAGTGAGAGGTTGAGTGAGTGAGAGAGAGGGTGAAGGGCGGACTTTGGCACCTACAGGGTGATGCCACAGCTCGGGGGGCTAGCTCGGGAGGCTAGCTCGGGGGGCTAGCTCGGGAGGCTAGCTCGGGAGGCTAGCTCGGGAGGCTAGCTCGGGAGGCTAGCTCGGGGGGCTAGCTCGGGGGGCTAGCTCGGGGGGCTAGCTCGGGGGGCTAGCTCGGGGGGCGGACTGTGGCACCTTGTAGACGGTGTCTTTGCTCCTCCCCACCTCATGTATCACCGTCCTCCATAGAGAGTGTCATGAGAAGACCTTTAAGGCGCCTACAAAAGATGGTGACACAATGTGCCTTCTCATACTAAGCTTACATCTTGTGATCTTCACTGTAGTGGGTTCGTGCCACCTATCCGAAATCAATGTACGGAAACATGTATGCATGCATGCATACTCTTCATGACCATCCACTTAGTGCGGCAAAATGTGGAAACACTTGCACAAATGTGAAAGGAGATGTTATGAGAGCGTCTTTTAATGAAAGACGAAAGGATGGAGAAGAAAAGGAGCACCTTGAGGAAGAGGTAGAAGGGTACAGCCGATACTGAGTACTTTTCAAGTATTGAGACACGTGACACATGTACTACGGAGGAAGCAAGGAAGCAACGACGCGCACCTTGAGGAAGACGAAGAAGGGCACGGCCGATACTGAGTACTTCTCTGAGACCTCCGGTACCTCCTCTGCCTCCACCTGGTAAAGAGTATGGGATGGTGGGTCAAGGGGCGGGGGAACGGGACAAGGGGGAAATAAAAAGGGGGGTGAAGAAGGGTACAGCCGATACTGAGTACTTCTCAGAGACCTCCGGTACCTCCTCTGCCTCCACCTGATCGATAAAAAGGGTTGGAGGAGCAAGAGAAAGGGACAAGGGGGAGGACAAGGAAGACGAAGAAGGGTACAGCCGATACTTAGTATTTCTCCGGTACCTCCTCTGCCTCCACCTGATAGATGGAACGGGGTGTGGGGATAACGGGAGGGGGGGAGCAAGTGAAAGGGTGAAGGGGAAGGATGAGGGGGACAAAGGAAGGGTACAGCCGATACTGAGTGCTTCTCAGAGAGCTCCGGCACCTCCTCTGCCTCTACCTGGCATGGCAGAGAGTATGGGATGGTGGGACAAAGGGAGAGGGAGCGGGACAAGGAAGGGGGAAGGAAAAAGGGGGCGGGGCAAAGGGGGGTGAAGACAGGGACAGCCGATACTGAGTATGTCTCAGAGAGCTCCGGCACCTCCTCTGCCTCCACCTGTGCATAGGGGGGGAGAGGCGGAGGGAGAAGGGTGAGGAGGATGAGGGGGAGAAGGTAGGCGGGAAGGACAAAGGGGAAGCACAACGGGGAAGAACAAAGGGGAAGGACAAATGGGAAGGACAAACGGGAAGGACAAAGGGGCGGGACAAAGGGGAAGGACAAAGGGGAAGGACAAAGGGGAAGGACAAAGGGGAGGGACAAAGGGGAGGGACAAAGGGGAGGGACAAAGGGGAAGGACAAAGGGGAAGGACAAAGGGGAGGGACAAAGGGGAGGGACAAAGGGGAAGGACGACAAAGGGGAGGGACAAAGGGGAAGGACAAAGGGGAAGGACAAAGGGGAGGGACAAAGGGGAGGGACAAAGGGGAAGGACGACAAAGGGGAGGGACAAAGGGGAAGGACAAAGGGGAAGGACGACAAAGGGGAGGGACAAAGGGGAAGGACAAAGGGGAAGGACGACAAAGGGGAGGGACAAGGAGGAAACAGGGTACAGCCGGCACGTAGTACGTCTTAAAGAGGCCCGGCACCTCCTCTGCCTCCACTTGGTGACTTTTGAGTCGACTCAAAAGTCACCTCGTTACCATGGCACACGATACAAAGGGGAGGGACAAGGAGGAAACAGGGTACAGCCGGCACGTAGTACGTCTTAAATAGGGCCGGCACCTCCTCTGCCGCCACTTGATTGGTAGAATGCCATCCCGAGCTGGTTTTTGAGAGTTCTCAAAAAAGAGGCCCGGCACCTCCTCTGCCTCCACTTGATTGATGCAATAGAATGCCATCCCGAGATGCATTCAGCTCAAGCCAAGCCCTGTACCCATTCAGCTGTTCTCAGTGCGTACTCACCCTGAGGAACTTGGCGTGCGGATTCTCTGCTGCCAACTGCCCGAACACCACGTCCATGTGCTTGCACGGCTCGCACCATGCCCCCCAGAAGGACATTCAGCTGTTCTCACTGCTCACTGACCCTCAGGAATTTGGCGTGGGGGTTTTCGGCTGCGAGCTGCCAGAACACCACGTCCATGTGCTTGCACGGCTTGCACCATGCCGCGCAGATATGCAATCAGATGTTCTCTTCTCAGTGCGTACTCACTCACCCTCAGGAACTTGGCATGGTTCGGCTGCCAGCTGCCCGAAGACAACAACATCCATGTGCTTGCACGGCTCGCACCATGCCGCGCAAAGACTCATTCACTTTAGACCACGCTCTGTACAGCTTCGCATGCTGCTTCTGTACTCACCCTCAGGAACTTGGCATGGGGGTTTTCAGCTGCCAGTTGCCCGTTCCATGTGCTTGCACGGCTCGCACCATGCCGCCCAGAAATGCAATGACATTTTCCTCAGTGCTGACTCACTCACCCTCAGGAATTTGGCGTGGGGGTTTTCAGCTGCCAGTTGCCCAAAAACAACATCCATGTGCTTGCACGGCTCGCACCATGCCGCCCAAAAATGCACCGCCACTGGCGCCCCTTCCTTGGCCGCTGCTTCGAACGCCTCTGCTGACGTCACCTCCGTCACTGCCATGGTTGCTGGTGGGAGGAGGCGAGGAAGGAGGGAGGAGGAGAGGAGAGGAAGGAGGGAGAAATGAGCGAGGAAGCACGAAAATGGTGAATGACGTGACGTGACGTGACGGGTGCAGATGGCATGGTGACTTTTGAGTCGACTCAAAACTCACCCAGCACGTTGGACACATGGTGCACGGCCCCTCTTTCTCAAATGACTTTTGAGTCAACTCAAAAGTCAGCGAGGAAGCACGAAAATGGTGAATGACGTGACGTGTCGGGTGCAGATTGCGTGACTGTCGCAGCACAGAACGAGCGTGGTGACAAGAGTAAACGCAGACGGCGTGTGTTCGTTATCTGAGTGACGTAAAAGAGGTTACTGGCGACGTTAAGTCGTTACACGGTTATGGCGTCACAGTGTAACAGCGTCGCAGGGTGCAACACAGTCATATGAAAATCACTTTTGAGAATTCTCGTAAATAATTTCCATTCAACCAAGGTCATCGAAACGATAGCTGAAAGGTCCTTCAATCATCCCACCCTAATCGGAAACTAGATCTCCTAAAGTACTGTGCGGCTTTCCCCGCTCTCTCTCACCAGATCTGATTTCCCTCGCCGCGAGCTCGCACGTCACCAGAATCTAGTAGTAGCAGCGGGATCCGCCCTTTTCTCCCGCACGACCACGATATGCTTTGAGAAATCTGAAACCAAAAACACCTGCTCCGTCTCTATTTGGAACGAGAGGCGTGAGAAAGAAGTTTCGCGAAATCCGATTGCAGAGGGCAAATCCATGTCAGTACTCGCTGGAAACGTTTACTCGATACACTGTGAAGAGTGCTAACATTCTGGAATCAGAAAATAATATTGAGAAGTGTTTTTGTCTAGCGCTGACATTTTACAATGTTACGGGGCAAGTAACAGTAATAAAATCATAGAAGTTGCACTAAGAAGGTTATGAGACAAAGGCGAGAGATCTGTGCCTCAACGAATCAAATACGTCCACGAGTGAACCAGATAAGTTACCAACCAATCACCACCCTCTTCGAACCAATACGGACGTTCCCCCTGATGCTCTTCCAGACAGACCCAAATTCCTCTATTTCTGAGCCAGTCCTTACTGGTTTCAGGCTTTTCCTCTATTGCTTAGCCAGTTAGCTAATTCTTGTGAGATTACCAGGTTGATTAGCCGCCATGGTCGTAGCAAGCTCGTTGTGCTGCAGCCACGCGGTTGGGCTGAAGCCGCTTCACACTACGCCTAGCAATGGAACACGTGGCTTAGCCTCTTCTTCTAGGCTACAAAATGCCATTCCCCGCTTGACAACTGGTTACCGCAGTGCTCGCATCCAACGGTGCGACAGGCGAAGCGTTCGCATCTCAGCCGTCAATGTCGCTCCCGAGAGTGCGACGGCGTCGCAGAGCTCGGATACGGAGCTTCTTGATTGGATGAACGCGAACGGGCTGCCTCCGTGCAAAGTCACGCTGAAGGAGCGACCCGGAGCCACTCCCGAGGAGGATACGATCCATTACGTTGCCGCCACGGAAGATCTGCAGGCAAGCCTAGAATCCGCGAGTATTCAGCGTTTTATATGCTCGCTGTGCTTTGCAGCCCGGGGCCACTCCCAGAGCCCCTTACGTTGCAAACACGGAAGATCTGCAGGCAAGCTTAGAATTCGCCATTCTAAACGTCATTATGCGTCCTTCAGCACTCAATATGCTCGCTGTGCGCTGATCCGGTTCTCGACAGAAGAACCATGTTGATGGGTCTGGAAATTGGGAGTTACGAAGGTTCCGAGCTTCGTGTCTTTCTAAGCTTTTCTCATCGGTACTGGCACCAGCGATTGAATGTTTCATGCTCGACTGAATCGGTTCTTATGCGCCTGTGTTTCAATCTATGAATCCATTGCATCGCCCCGTTCCGCGACAATCCCTGAATCCATCTCTGGCAGGCCGGCGACATTCCCTTGAAGGTTCCGGAGAACCTCATTGTCACCCTAGGTCGAGTGCTGGGAGACGAAAACCTAGGTATGGCTTGCGTGGCCCTTTGTCTCCTGTCTTCTGAGTCGACTCTAAGGTTCCGGAGAACCTCATTGTCACCCTGGGTCGAGTGCTGGGAGACGAAAACCTAGGTATGGCCTGCGTGTCTGCATGTTTCATCATTTCATGGGTGCACAAGCAAGTAACAGGCCTCACATTGTAGTTCCGTAGGGAATGGTACATTGGCGTTGAAACATCTCACCCGACAGACGCACGCACCCCCTGATTAATTTGGCAAAAAAATATCGTCTCACTGATCTTGCAATGCGACCGCACGACGCTTGTCTCAAGTTCCGTGTCTTCTGTGCGCGTCATCACCCATTCTCCATATTTGTCGTTAATGGCAACTCTGAATCAAGCCAATGTGTCATCTTTCACCCACGAGCGATGCGACACGTACCATTGCTCTCCGCCTCTCGCCCTCTCGCCCACTCCCCTCAATTACCCACCCCAACCCACCTCTCCAGCGGAGCTGATAACAACCAACAAGCTATCGGAGCTGGCGTGCTTGGCGCTCTACCTCATGTTCGAGAAGAAGCAGGCGGATGAGTCCTTCTGGCGCCCCTTCATTCATCCATTCCCCACACACCCTCCCACTTCCCCCGCCCCCCGTCCCCCACTCTCTCAGCTGAGCTGGTAACAACCAACAAGCTATCCGAGCTGGCGTGCTTGGCGCTCTACCTCATGTTCGAAAAGAAGCAGGCGGATGAGTCCTTCTGGGGCCCTTTTATTCACGAGCTCGACCGGCAGAGGGGGCGAGGCCAGACCGCCGTGGCCACCCCTCTCCTGTGGGATCCCCAGGAGGTGGCAGAGCTGTTCCAAGGGAGTCCCATGAAGGTGAGCATCAGGATCAGGTGAGGAAGATAGGTGAGAGTCGAGGGGGTTAGCAGCATTGTGCTGCTGGTGTGTCTGGCGCTGTGCGTTGATGCTCGGTCTTTCTGAGAAAGGGTTGAGAAGAAGCAGGCGGACCGGTCCTTCTGGCGCCCTTTTATCAACGAGCTTGATAGGCAGAGGGGGCGAGGACAGACGGCTGTTGAGACCCCGCTGCTGTGGGACCCGCAGGAGGTGGCAGAGCTGTTCCAAGGGAGTCCCATGAAGGTGAGCATCAGGATCAGGTGAGGAAGATAGGTGAGAGTCGAGGGGGTTAGCAGCATTGTGCTGCTGGTGTGTCTAACGCTGAGCGTTGATGCTCGGTCTTTCTGAGAAAGGGTTGAGAAGAAGCAGGCGGACCGGTCCTTCTGGCGCCCTTTTATCAACGAGCTTGATAGGCAGAGGGGGCGAGGACAGACGGCTGTTGAGACCCCGCTGCTGTGGGACCCGCAGGAGGTGGCAGAGCTGTTCCAAGGGAGTCCCATGAAGGTGAGCATCAGGATCAGGTGAGGAAGATAGGTGAGAGTCGAGGGGGTTAGCAGCATTGTGCTGCTGGTGTGTCTGGCGCTGAGCGTTGATGCTCGGTCTTTCTGAGAAAGGGTTTGAGAAGAAGCAGGCGGACCGGTCCTTCTGGCGCCCTTTTATCAACGAGCTTGATAGGCAGAGGGGGCGAGGGCAGACTGCTGTTGAGACCCCACTGCTGTGGGACCCACAGGAGGTGGCAGAGCTGTTCCAAGGCAGCCCCATGAAGGTGAGGAGTAGGGAAAATGTATGACGGTCATGGGGGGGAAAGCGTTTTGTTAGGCGCTGGGAAGAGGTTTGCAGGCAGAGGGGGCGAGGGCAGACGCCCATGTAGACGCCTCTTCTGTGGGACCCGCAGGAGGTGGCAGAGCTGTTCCAAGGCAGCCCCAAGAAGGTGTGTTTGGCTCGTAAATTCTCAGGATAGCTGCAGCAACAATCACTCGGCCATGGCGACTCCACGGCCGAGACTCTCCCTTTGATCCTTCTCCTCCTTATTCCATCCTCGTCGCACCTGCCCACATGCCTCCCTCCCTCGCATTCCTTCTCTCTATGTGAATTCCCTCTGGCGGAGGTGGAGGCGCGGCTGCAGGGCATGAAGAGGGAGTACGAGGAGCTGGACCCGACACAGTAAGTTTGACTTTATCACACCATATCCGCCCACATCCCTCCCTGCCATTCTCATTCTCTGACCCCACAGGCGGAGGTGGAGGCGCGGCTGCACTGCAGGGCATCAAGAGGGAGTACGAGGAGCTGCACAGTACACTGTAAAGCTCTCCCTTATTTTCCATCTTTTCCTCATCACACCACCCACATGCCTCCCCCCCCCATCCCCACAAACCCACAGGCGGAAGTGGAGGTGCGGCTGCACGGCATCAAGAGGGAGTACGAGGAACCAGGCACATCCCACCCTTTACCCTCGCCTTCACCTGTCCACATCACATCCGCCCATATCTCTCCCTCCTATTTTCATTCTCTGAACCCACAGGCGGAGGTGGAGGCGCGGCTGCAGGGCATCAAGAGGGAGTATGAGGAGCTCGACACCGTATGGTTCCTTGCAGCTTCGCTCTTCAAGGTACTGCTGTGTAGGGAGCATGTGGGGCATGTGTGGGGAGTGTATGGGTGAGGCTGCAGGGCATTAAGAGGGAGTACGAGGAGCTGGATACGGTGTGGTTCCTCGCAGCTTCGCTCTTCAAGGTACTGCTTTGTGTGCAGGAAGGCATGTGTGCTGTGGGCAGTGTGAGGCAGGCATGTGCGTGTGGGGAGTTTGAGTAAGGCTGCACCTGCAGGGCAGCAAGAGTGAGTGCGAGGAGCTGGACACAGTGTTGTTCCTTGCAGCCTCGCTTTTCAAGGTAATGAATGAATGCCACATGTGTGTGATAATGTGCTTTCTGTGGTGCCACCTGGTGTGTGTGATGCCATGTCGTGTGTGATGCCATGTCGTGTGTGATGCCATGTCGTGTGTGATGCCATGTCGTGTGTGATGCCATGTCGTGTGTGATGCCATGTCGTGTGTGATGCCATGTCGTGTGTGATGCCATGTCGTGTGTGATGCCATGTCGTGTGTGATGCCATGTCGTGTGTGTGTGTGATGCCATGTGGTCTGTGTCTCCCGTTGTCTCCCGCTGTTTGCTGTCCCATGTAAGATCTTTAAGGAGTCACCAACACTGTGCTGTACAGTCATGCCCCTATATCCTCCATTTATCAGCCCCCTTCTCTCTTGACTCTCCTCCCCCTTCCCCCACCACAGCAATATCCCTACAACATGCCCTCGAAGACCTATCCCTTTGGAATTTTTTAGCAGGCTTTCATAGCTGTGCTGTCATGTCCTGTAACTCGCACATTGTCCGTCCGGCCTCCATCTCTTGATTCCCTTACCCCCTTTTGCTCCCTTTCGCACCCTTTCCTCCGCATTCTCTTCAGCAATACCCCTACGACACACCCTCCGAGACTTTTCCCTTTGAGATCTTCAAGCAGGCCTTCATTGCCGTGCAGTCATGCGTGGTGCACCTGCAGGTGAGATTTGATTCTCCTCTTGTGCTTGAGCAGGTGAGATTCTATGTTCTTTTGCGCTCGAGTAAGGCACTAAGGGCACCTGCAGGTGAGATTTTATTCTCCTGTGCTTGAGTACGGGTACTTGCAGGTGAGATTTGATTCTCTTGTGTGCTACACCCTTTCCCCTCCGCCATACCTGCTCGCTCCGATTCCTCCCCCCATGTCTCCCCCTGAAGGTTGAGTCTCCCTCGCTGTTTCGCTCTCATCCACATAGGCCCGCCTCTCCCGGCCTACCGCAACACCGCGCGCTTGCCCACAAACCCCTCCCCCTCCTCTCCCCCTCCCTCTTTTCCCATCTATACCCCACAATACCCCTCCTTCCTCTCAGGGCGTGCCTCTCCCCCGTCGCTTCGCCCTCATCCCCATGGGTCCGCCTCTTCTCGCCTACAAAAGCACCACCCGCTCCATGCTCGCTGCCTCCCCTGACGGAGGGGTTGAACTCCGCCTGGACCGCCCTGTCAAGGCTGGGGAGCCTCTCAGCGTCTGGTGAGTGAGTGTGCTTAGTTGCGGGCAGAAGGGTAAATCCCTATACTTGTAACCTCCTCGACAGGCATGTGCCTATCTATCACCGCACCGCACCACCTGCGCTCCATGCTCGCTGCCTCCCCCGATGGAGGGGTTGATTGAGCTCCGCCTGGACCGCCCTGTCAAGGCAGGGGAGCCCCTCAGCGTGTGGTGAGTGTCGCTAGTGGTGTGTGTGCTGGGTTTCAGACAGAAAATTGAGTCCCTATACTCGTATCCGCTTTGAGAGGCATGTGCCTACTGCAGCACCACACCACGCACTCCATGCCCGCTGCTCCCCCCAATGGGGGTGATACCTGGATGATCCTCCTGGATTGCCCTGTTAAGGGGGAAGAGCTTCTCGGCTCAGCGTGTGGTATCGTGGACCCCTGCACCTTTTGTCCTCCCCCCTCCCCTTTCTTACCCTTTTTTCACCATCCAACACTCGCCTGCTGCTCAACTATGGCATTGTGGACGAGGACAACCCCTATGACCGACCGCCCCACAGTGCATCAGTCTTATACTCCCCTCCTCCACTACCCCCTCCCAACCTCTCTCAGGTGTGGCCCCCAGCCCAACACGCGACTGCTGCTCAACTACGGCATTGTGGACGAGGACAACCCCTATGACCGCCTCACGGTGCAGGTGGGTACTGTGTGCATAGGGCGTACATGTGAGGGGTATAGTGGTTGGGTACTGGTGGTGGATAGGGCGTAGACGGGAGTGTAGTAGACGGGAGTGTAGTAGTGCTACATATGCTCAGCTTAACTGTGGCATTGTGGACGAGGACAATCTCTATGACCGCCTCACGGCGCAGGTGAGGAGCATAGGGCGTACACGCACGGCTCATAGGGGTATTAGTGCTACGTGTGCTGAATCCAGCTATTACATTGTGGACGAGGACAACCCCTATGACCGCCTCACGGCGCAGGTGAGGGGTGTTAGTGGCACATGCGACTTATGAGGGGTGCTAGCAGCGCATGATGCAGGTGCTATCTGCTCAACTCAACTACGGCAGTGTGGGCGAGGAGAGGACAACCCCTATGACCACCTTACGGTGCAGGTGAGTGGGGCGATTTAGAAGGGGTGGGCAGGTGAGGTGGGCACCAGGGGAGGATGTCGCTCCTGCTCTGCTGCTTAACTACGGCATTGTATAATCCCTATGATTGCCTCACAGGGCAGGTGAGTGAAGGTCGGCAGGTAAAGGGTGAATGAGGAGTGGTGCTAGTGCAAGTGGGAGCAGTTGGGGAAACGAGGGCGGCAGTTGGGGAAACGAGGGCGGCAGTTGGGGAAACGAGGGCGGCAGTTGGGGAAGCGAGGGCGGCAGTTGGTGAAGCGAGGGCGGCAGTTGGGGAAGCGAGGGCGGCAGTTGGGGAAACGAGGGCGGCAGTTGGGGAAACGAGGGCGGCAGTTGGGGAAACGAGGGCAGCAGTTGGGGAAGCGAGGGCGGCAGTTGGTGAAGCGAGGGCGGCAGTTGGGGCAGCGAGGGCGGCAGTTGGGGAAGCGAGGGCGGCAGTTGGGGAAGCGAGGGCGGCAGTTGGGGAAGCGAGGGCGGCAGTTGGGGAAGCGAGGGCGGCAGTTGGGGAAGCGAGGGCAGCCCACAGATAGGTTCACTGATGCTGTCTGGCAATGGAAGACAACTGCCTAACGATCTGTTCTTTGCTGTCTACCCCACTCTTCCCTTCTTCCCGCACTACATCTCCCCCTCCTTGTTCCCCCATATCACACACACACACTCCCTTGCGTGCCCCAGGTGGCATTGAACCCCGACGACCCACTGTACCAGGCCAAGTGGATTTTTTTTAACCAACCCTCATAGGCACTCTATCCTGCTGCTCCTCATCGCTTCTCCACTTCCCGTCCCCTTCTCTCTCCCATCGCCTTCCTCAGGTGGCATTGAACCCTGACGACCCACTCTACCAGGCCAAGCGGGCCATCGTGCAGAAGAACGACCTCCTGCGCACCCAGGACTTCCAGGTGAGTCTCCAGCTCCAGATGATTCTTCAGGTGAATTTTCAGGTGAATTTCCTGGCGTTTTTGCCCGTAGTGGTTGTTTAGGTGCATTTTCAGGTTAATTTTCATGTGGCACTTTCAGGCAATTCTTCAGGTGGACTTTCAACTGTTGTGTGATGATGATGCGTTGTGCCCACTCACATCAGCTGTACAAGGGCAAGGTGCATTGCATTGGCCCTGCACACCATACTTCCATACCCGTCTGTTTCCATCATTGACATTATTAACTGACATTCCCCCAACAATCCCTTCATTTGTTTCTTTCCCCAACCCCCCCCACCACCACCAACCCATCAGCTGTACAAGGGCAAGGAGCAGGCAGCCCTATACAACATGATGCCCTGCCTGTGTCTTGCACTGTGGCACATGTCACATTCTCCCCTCTCCTCCACACCCTTCTCAATCACCCCCAACCCACCACACCAGCTATTCAAGGGCAAGGAGCAGGCAGCTCTGTATGATATGATGCCCTGCCCTACCTGCGCCTGCCATGATGACACATTCTCCCCTCTCCTCCACACCCTTCTCAACTGCCTTCAACCCACCCCTTTAACTCCTCACATCAGCTGTACAAGGGCAAGGAGCAGGCAGCCCTGTACGACATGATGCCCTACCTGCACTTGGCATGATGATGCACCCTTCCCTCACCTGCTCCCTGCTCAAACCCAACCCCCCCCCACCCCTCCCTTCCCCCGTCCCCCAATCCTCACTTTAGCTGTACAATTGCAAGGAGCAGGCAGCCCTGTACGACATGATGCCCTACCTGCGTCTGGCACTGTGGTACATGTCACATTCTCCCTTCACCTGCACACCCTTCTCAACCGCCCCCAACCCATCAGCTGTACAAGGGCAAGGAGCAGGCAGCCCTATACGACATGATGCCCTACGTGCGTCTGATGTGATAACACATTCTCCCTTCACCTTCCCACCCTTCTCAACCGCCCCCAACCCAACCCATCAGCTGTACAAGGGCAAGGAGCAAGCAGCCCTGTACGACATGATGCCCTACCTGCGCCTGGCGCACGTCACCGACCCTCTCGACATGGAATTCGTCACTTTCGCTGATGGGCCTGTGTGCGGGGTGAGTGTGAGCCTGTGTGTGGGGGTAGGAGAGGGCTGATGTGTCGTTGGTGGCTGTGTGTGGGTGTTTGTGTGTAAGAGTGGGGGTTGCATGCCCTACCTGTGCCTGGCGCATGTCACAGACCCCCTCGACATGGAGTTTGTCACCTTCGCCGATGGGCCCATGTGCGGGGTGAGTGGAAGATTGGTGTGTTTCTGTGTGCTGGGTGTGGCCGTGCCAGTGTGTGGTGTAAGGTTGAGCTGAATGCCCTACCTGCGCCTGGTGCATGTCACTGACCCCCTCGACATGGAGTGTGTCATGTTCGCCGATGGGCCCATGTGCGGGGTGAGTGAAGATTGGTGTTCATAATCCCCATGCTCTCCCTATGGTCCCCACACAGGTGAGTCCATGCAACGAGAACGCGGTGTTGGATCAGCTGGTGGAGTTCTTTGAAGCCCGCCTTGCAGCCTACCCCACCACGCTCGAGGAGGACATTGCTGCGGTAAGAGATGATTCGTTAAAGGTAACCATCTAATAATATTAAAAGTAGGTTTCGTAGTGGTTCTTCCTTGAAGGCAGACTTGCAGCCTACTCCACCACTGGAAAAGGGCATTGCTGCGGTCAGTGATGACTTTTGAGGCGCCTCAAAAGTGGCCTATTCCACCACTGGAAAAGGGCATTGCTGCGGTCAGTGATGGTGCCGTGCCAACTCCTAACTGCGCCTCTCTGCCCAACCCAAGCAGCACACACCCACTTGCGCCCTGTGCCTTCCTGCCCAGATGCACTGGCAGGCAGGAGGTCATTTCTGCTCCCCTCCTCATCCCCTTTTTCCCTCTTTCCCCTGCCCCCTGTATTTTTCCCCTGCCCCCTGTACCCTGTTCCCCCTGCCCCTTGCCCTTTTTTCCCCATGTGTCCCTCTGCCCTCCTGTTTGTTCCCCCTCCCTACAGATTGCAGACCCCGGCAACCAACCTCAAGAGGAGGGTGGCGGCACGGCTGGTGCGCATTGAGTAGGAGATTCTGCGCAACGCCCTGGCAGCCGTGGAGGATGTCATTTCTGCGCCCCTCCTCACCTCCCCCTTCCCCCTTTTCCCTGCCCCCTTCCCCCTGCCGCCTGCCCCCTGCCGCCTGCCACCTGCCGCCTGCCGCCTGCCGCCTCCCCCCTGCCCCGTGCCCCCTGTCTCCCTGCCCCCTGTCTCCCTGCCCCCTGTCTCCCTGCCCCCTGTCTCCCTGCCCCCTGTCTCCCTGCCCCCTGTCTCCCTGCCCCCTGCCTCCCTGCCCCCTGTCTCCCTGCCCCCTGTCTCCCTGCCCCCTGTCTCCCTGCCCCCTGTCTCCCTGCCCCCTGTCTCCCTGCCCCCTGTCTCCCTGAATGTTCTCTCCCCTTTCTCAGATCGCAGACCCGGCAAGCAGCCCCAAGAGGCGGGTGGCGGCACGGCTGGTGCGCATTGAGAAGGAGATCCTGCGCAACGCCCTGGCAGCCGTGCAGGAAGTCATCTCTGTCCTGCCCACGTGGAGCGAGGCCCCGTGCTACAGCCAGCACAGGCCCATTCTGAAATAGGGTACAGTAAATGAACTGCAGTGTATGGGCTACAGTATATGGGCTAGATATTTTAAGAAACCACGTGACGTTTGTTAGTAGCTGTTTTTTTCCCTCTTCAGGTCTAAACAATGTAACCCAAAGCTGGCAGTGGCAGCACTTCATCCTGGGTATGCAGTGTAGCTACTGTACAATTATTGCCACCCTTATTGGTTGAGTGAGATCAAAACATAAGGTTGCTCTGTGTTCTGGCTGAAGTTGCTGATGTAAAACTGGGCCATCAATTTTAAGGTAAATACACGGCTTGATTGCAGGAAGGGAACATACCGTACCGAGTGATAGAAGAAGCACAGTAAATGACATTCCAATTCCACACTAGCAGAGCACTGTAACCCAAGCTCGATCCTTCCTCACTGCCTTCCTAACCTCCTCCGAGCCTCCAAACAGCCAGAGCTCCCCCAAGCGAGGCAACTTCTTCACCATCTTCTTCACCCCACCTTTGGTCAACCCACCACCAGCACCACCACCAGCACCAACACCAGCAGCGGCACGACCACCACCACCGGCAGCAGAGCAGCGCAATGCCCTCAATTTCGGGAAGAACTTGGCAACACACAGGGCACCTTCGTCCCTCAGCTGCCACCCAAACAGGCTCAGCCACACAAGCTCCTCCATAGGGCCCAAAGCCCTGATCCACCTGCCACCAGGTGCAGAGTAGTTACGGTCAATTTCATTCTTTAAAAGTTTTAAGAATATTGCCTTACCTGTCGCCAGGTGCAGAATCTGCTCCACAATTGGCCACCCAGGCGAGGTTGAGCGTGTCCAAATGCTGCAGCTGGCGAATGTGGTACATGGACCGGCATGTGATGCGCGTGCAGTGACGCAGATCTAGAGCTCTGATCTCTGTGACCTGACACCAGATCGCAATGCCCTCATCGCCCACCATTGTCCTGCTGAGATTCAGCCTCCTCAGGTTTGTCAGATTCGTCAGGTTCGTCAGGTTTGCCAGATTTGTCAGATTTGCCAAATTGGTCAAATTTGCCAAATCTGGCAAGCTTGCCAGGTTTGGAGTACTGCTCGTCACAGGGTACGGTGCTGCTGCACCGAACCTGAAGCCAGTGCATCCAGCCAAGCAGAGGTGAGTGAGCTGTGTGAGTCGAGCAATCAGAGGCAAATCAGAGTCAACCAGGCGAGTGCAGTTGCTGAGATCAAGCTTTCTCAGAGCTGGGAGATTCAGGACGATGGTTTGCTGCAGGCAGGGGGTGGTTATTGATGGGAAGGCTTTGAGTGCGGAGACGGTGGAGAGGGATGCGGAGTGGTGGAGGGAGAGCGAGAGGAGGTGGAAGAGGAGTGTGTGGTAGGAGGGGGAAGGGAGTGCAGAGAGGTCCAGAGTGGTGAGGCCCTTGAGGAGCTGTGTGCTGTGGAAGGTGGCTAGAGATTGCAAGCCCTGGTGGGGAATGAGAAGGAGAACATTGGGATGTAACGGATGGAAATGGGAGAGGAGTTGAGAAGAAGCGAGATGAAAAGTATGGAGAGTTGAGAATAACGGCAACCAAAAGAGCTGAATAACCATGAGCGAGGACAATACGTTGGAAAAAATGGCTTTGAAAGGGCTGAAAAACAGCAGTGCACTGTAGCCATCAGTGCACTGTTATGACCAGTGCACTGGGAGCGGAGTGCACTGTTATGACCAGTGCACTGGGAGCGGATGTGGAATTCCTGAGCGTAAAGCTTTAAGTGTAGGAGGGAGGGACTCAAATAAGAATAGAAGAGGAGCCAGCTACACTTTTCACCATCCTAGGAAAAAGAAAAGCAATGAGGCGATAAGGTGGAAAATGAGGGACTGTGTGGAATTAACGATGGTGAGGAAACATATGTTGATGTACACATTACCTTTTCTATCCTCTGAACCTTGACAATCTGCTGCTGCAGCTGCGCATCCATCGTTCTCATCCGTCTCTTCGCGCCTATCAAAGACGAGCCATGACCCCCTCTCGGAATCCGTACTTGACAGCTTCGGCATTTCAGCTGCTTCAGTAGCTGCTGCTGCGGTTGTTGCTGCTGACGCTGTGATTTTTCCTGCTGCTGATCCTCTGGATGCCACTGCAGCACTTGCTGCTGCTGCTGCTGCTGCTGCTGCTGCTGCTGCTGCTGCTGCTGCTGCTGCTGCTGCTGCTGCTGCTGCTGCTGCTGCTGCTGCTGCTGCTGCTGCTGCTGCTGCTGCTGCTGCTGCTGCTGCTGCTGCTGCTGCTGCTGCTGCTGCTGCTGCTGCTGCTGCTGCTGCTGCTGCTGCTGCTGCTGCTGCTGCTGCTGCTGCTGCTGCTGCTGCTGCTGCTGCTGCTGCTGCTGCTGCTGCTGCTGCTGCTGCTGCTGCTGCTCCTGCTGATGCTGCTGGCACAGCACGGTTTCCTGAGTCACGAGAACCAACTCCCTGCTACCCCCGACTTCCGTCAGTTTCATTCTCACGCCTTCCACAAGACCCCTGATTCCCTCCACACTCTCCTCCAGTCTCTGTAGATGCTCCTCTACTCCCTGCGCGTGCTCCACCGCAGTCATCCTCGCTATAAGCTGGTGAACCTTGTTCGTTATAGACTCCTCCAATTCCTGCACCTCCTGTGTCAGATCTACAAGCACATCCGCCACGCGCTGCATTGCTGTTAAATCGAAATAGCCGCTGCTGAGAATCGAAACAGACGCTGCAGAAATCGAACGGCTTGTGTTGAAGATCGAATTCCAGCCGCTGCTGCGAGCCGAAACAGCCTTAACTGAAAGTCAAATAGCCAGAGTCGAGAATCAAGGTTGAAGTTTGAATCGCTGGATCAAGGGATGACTGTCAGCAGGAATTGGAGAGCCAAATGTCAGTTGGAGCGATATCACGCTGTTTAAAAAACGATGTCAATGAGCAAGAATAGTATCAGTATCCGCATGTCATTGGCTATTAGGTCGCTGACGGTGGTAAGAAATTCAGGGACGAGAAGAAGTAGAACGCGAGCTTGCTATTTCTTAACCAACGAGCTCCACATAACTTGAACGAACATTCATGCGTTGCGTTAAGAGTGATTTACAGGTATATCGGAGCTACTAATCGCAACTTCATCTGCCGACGAGAACATATGAAAGCGGTTTCTGTGGAGCTCCATACGCTCTGGCGCTTCGCGTTCTGAGTCTGCAAAATACCTTTCCTTACCCATCGCCAGGAAATTATTCGTGAACAATGCACGTTTTCATTTTCCCGAACCAACGTGCTCGAGTATGACTTTACTGCCTTTTCCTCCCACCTAACGCTGCTAATCCTGGACTGACGGTCCCATTTAGTCCGTTTGATTCCGTCACGTCGATGCTCGTCAGCAGCACTGCTGCTGAGTCGGCCCGAATGGTACCAAACCATCCTCCCAGACAATCAATCACATGAATGCGAATGGTCGGCCAGGACTGAAAAAATGAAGCTCTCCGCTTCCCTGCTACTCCTTGTACTCGTTTACACCTGCTTCCGCTTACCTTCTACACCATTGAATCTCCATGATGATAACGTTTTTTGCGTTCGCTCTTCTTTATGGATCGATCTTCTCGAAGGTAAGCAAAGCTCCTTGATCTGTAACGAGTGTCTTGTGCGCAGGCTCTTGGGTCTTCGGATCCCCCTCTGGATTCTCTACTCCGACTTTCTGGGAAAGGTGAGCTGGACTAACAATGTGTCTTTACGGTACTAACTTTCGTGTTTTGTGCAAACGCAGAGCGCCACTTCAGCAAAGATTCCTTCCTTGCCCAACGCGACGACTGGTGCTCCCGTAATGCTGGAATCTTGCTACCTTATCCTTACATTCTCCTCGTCCAAGTTGGTTCCGAGTCATAATGGACCACCTCAGGCTGCTCTCATTTATGCAAGACCCTTGTGGCGGTCTTGCTTCGTCCCCCCGATCCAGGCTTATTGTTTCCACCTCATTGCCAGCGTGCTGTCCCTCGCGGCTGCCTGACTCTTCCGCTTAACTCACATGCGTATCTTGCCGACTCGGGCAGCCGATCTGGCTCCCAGTCACCTCCTAATGGTTGCCACGGCCATCGCCAAAGCACCAATTTTTACTCTATGTCTCTCAATGTGCGGTCCGGGTTTTTGCCTACACTTGCAACATTTCCCGATCCGGTGGTTCTCCCCTCTCACCAGGATCTTGGCATAAAGCCAGGCCTTTCGCCATTTCACGAGTACCTCTAGCAACCATGGCTACCGAGCACAATCCCGACCACGTCATGACGGAAGGTCAGATTCCCGTTGGAGACGATTCCTTTTACGAGCTGGGGGATGAATTCCTCGGTGAACTCCCTGACGGAGCTCTGCTCCTGTCGGTGCTCAGCCGCCTCCCTCGGGAGAACCTGCGGCGAAGAAGCTATGCAATGAGGGGCAATCCTCGGCTGCTGGTACCTCAGGCACTGCCTCCGCGCCTCCTTCGGCTCCTCCCCCGGTCCCCCGCGCAAGCTCCTCCGGCAGCTCTGCTGCCACGGCTTCTGCGCCTGGTCGCACGCCTGCTCCTTCTGCGCCTCGCCCGGCGCCTTCTTCTCGCTTTCGGCCTGTGCAGCCGAAACCTGAACCAGACCATACTGCTGCTGGCGTGACCACCGGTCTTGCACCCAACGCTCGCTATCGAAACTTGCGCCTTCATCGCATGACGGTTGGAGCGGTTCTGCACACTCTGACGCGCAACACGCAATCGATGGTTGATGTGATTTTCCCCGAGTATTCATCGGAGGAGGTTCGCGCCGCGGTGCTTTCGCGTATCTCAGCTCTCATCAACGGTCAGGCATTCAACGGTGTTATTCCCTCGTTTGAGTCAGCGGCCGGTGAGGCCTTGCGGCTTCCCCGCCACACGAATTCCAGGCATACCTTTTCTTGGCCTTCTGCTAATGACGCTAGATCTTTCGCAGCCTCTTTCCGGTCACGGTTCGTCTGGCTAATAACCGTGGGATGAAAGTCAAGGTGTTCTCAGATCCCAATCGGGAGTTCACGACGGCTCGCGCCAGGGGTGACACCCATGTGGTTCTCCGCAACGTTCCGCTGGGGTACTCCCCGAGCGCATGCGCAGCACACGTCTCGCGGGAACGACCGTGGCAGGACTGCCTTGGCTCTCTGATCTTCGCCTGTTTCACAGGCTCAAGGACCCTTACGATGATTCGGCTTATTCTCAGCTACTCGGTCTTCCTGTGGCAGCAGACGGGGATGCGGGCTTTGATCGTATCCCTGCGGTCCTCTGGCTTCCGGGTCAGGAGGATCCGGTGCTTCTCAACATTTCATCCCACTCCTGTTCCGTCTGCTCCAGTAACCACCGCGTGACTGATCACGCGTGCTTCGCCCTCACCCGCCGTGCGCGCCTCCGAAACCGCCACACCATCTCGGTGGCCCAGCTGCAAACTGTTAACGGTACCACGGAATCTGCTTCCCTTATAAATTACTCTTGTTGAGCTTGCTAATCCTTGCTACTATTGCCCCTGTCCACGAGAGCTTATCTTGTGCTTCCGGGTAGACATGTCTTCTTGATATTGTAGGTATTAAGAGTTGAATTTTATCATAACCTGCTCTCATACCATGTTGGGCTGAAAAAGGCCCTTAGGATCTTTGTACGACTAAATTCAAGGTAGGATGATGTAATAGCGGAAGCGTTTAATGAAGACTTGTGAACCACCTTGCGCTAGTATGTGAGGGCAAAGTAAGTTGATTAAAACAAGCAAGTACAAAGGTTTATATAGGAGTACAAGGAATACAAAGAGATACGATTAATAACTGCTTTGTTGTTTGCTGTTGCGGTTCGATACCGTCATCGCCCGGATATAAGACAGTGTTGAATAGTAGACTGTGAAACTAACAGAACAGGAAAATGAATTGACTAAGTCAGAGTTGGGTACAAATACAACCCTAGCAAACTGTACCCCATATGTGCTACCCCACTATAGCCTACAAAC